TCTCTCATCATCTCCTTTGAGAACGTTCAGCCTAGAACAGTGAGACCAGCACGGGGCCAGTACCCGGCGCCCTGTAAGTGATGAGCGACTTTCCACGCTATGACCTGTGTGTCATTCTGGGGTCTGCACAGCACATTAGAAGGGCAGACTTCCAAAGGACTTTCTTTGAGACAGTATGGATTTTCTCATTTTTGTAGGCATGAAAACAATGCTAACTAATGGTTCCCATACATTGCTATTCCGACTTCCCGGTCTCAAAATGTGATGCTGGGGCCATAAATCTTAGGTTATCACAATTCTCACCCTGCTAGGCACAGAGTACACATAGTGCAAGAAAGAGCCAACGTGGCCCCTGCCTTGTAGGAGTTTACAGAATCTTGCCGGAAATCAGCATTCAACAATCCAAGAGGCGCTATGGAAGGGAAGCATAAGGCAATACACAGGCACAGTACGTGGGCGGTAGAGGGTCCTCGGAAGAATGCATTGGACCCAGACTGATTTACTGTCTGCTATGAACAAACATTTAAGTGTAATGTCAAAGTAAAAAACAAGATGCATTTCTGCTTCCACAAGATCCAAGTAGCCATTTTTTTTTAAGAACAAAGGATTTCATGCCTTTTTTGCTTCCATGCTTCCTATTTTGACTTTAGATAAGGAAAACTTAAAGGGGCCAAAAGTTTTCAAATTAAGTCACTTGTAATTCTGTCTGTATCAAAAATAAAAATAATCAAAAGAAAAACAATCAGTTCATAAATGTGTAATTCGTTTCAGAACCAACTATAATGTTTAATTTCAATGAAGCAAAAACGAAGTTTATGAGCAAGTGAAATTTCATATAGAGAAGATCCATTTTCTATAGTTTCAAAGTTTCTGGAATTTAACAAAAGTATCTGAGATTATGCCTAATTCTTAAATCCTGTTGGTTTTAAGATCTCCACATCAAATAACTTTATCAGCATAGTCCTATTTGATTACTTGCTGAGAAAGAAAAAGAATGCAGTTGAGGTTAGAGCCTTGGACTTCACTAGAGAAAACAAGATATGGGCTGGGACATTCACAGTTGCAGAATTTTGTATAAAGACATCAAGGCGTCCTCCTGATTTTCAGTAAATCACTAATTCTCACTGCCTTTTAAATGAAGTTTTTATGCAGTATATATCCATGTCTTGAATAATCAAATTAAGGCAAAAAGTCTAAAAGCTCTTTCAAGGTCACTGGCAATACCAGTTTTTGAACACATCTTTAAAATACAGTACATTCCTATAGAACATTCTAGGAAATCATCAAACCTAGCTACACAGTACATCACCTGGGAACTGTCAGAAAAGCAAAGGCCCAACTCATAAGATTCTAATTTAATTGGTCTCAGATAGGGCCCAGCTTTCCATATAGTACACACACACACACACACACACACACACACACACACACACACACCCCACAAAACTTGCCCAGGAGATACTAATAATGAAACGATTGCCGTAGACCTGGTCTATATCCCAAAAAAGAAAAGACAAACAATTCCTGATAATCCATCCTGAACTTTCATTTAAGGAGAAAACTTCTGCCTTAATAACAATCACTTGTGTTGACATCATCATTCCATTCAAAAACAGAAGATCTCGGCAAGATTAGAAAGTTTGCATTCACCAAACATCCTATTCAAAGCAGCAAAAGAGGCCAAAAGCAAATGACATTGTTTTTTTTTTTTTTTTCCTTTTGTGATCTTCAATGATGCCCATTAGGTATTAGTTATTGGTTACCGGATAGAGGTTGGACTATCTTGCGAAAAACTTCATTTCCGCTCATTTTCATTTCTGTCAGACTTTCCATTAAAAATTTTATTTTCTCTCAGTAAAAGTAGTATGAGGTTGCAATTTGGCAAGAACATTTTAAGCCTGGGTGTGATTTCCGTACCCCAATTTGATTTAAATTAGTTTTGCCATATTTAGTGAGGACTAAAAAAAAGTCCATTTGGCCGCTTTGCTTTTGCCTATTGGTTCATTATCTACACAGTTTCAAAAGTCTGAAAAAGTTACCATGTTTATTTCTGATAATTTTACGTGGAAATGCATTAATGAATTCATATTACTATTTTTAATGAAAACAACTTAAAAAGAACCTGCCAGCTTTTGTTTTTTTGGCTAAAATATCTACTTTTCAAAAAGCCACATGTTTTTCACTATTCATGTTAAATCCTCAAGAGGGACATCACAGATACATGTAATATTTTTTTAACCTGATGCATTTTCGAAATACCATACACTTCAAAATAATAATTTATTTCTCCAGGACAGCATTTTGCTACCTGTTGCTTACCACCGCTATTTCTCTACACCAGACAAAAGGCTATTTGGGACTGGAATAAGCATGTTCCCATGTAACAGTGCTCAATCCTCTAAGTCCACAGGATACATTGTTATAATATGATAAAGCTGCTTTTGGAGCTCCTCAGGGCATACCATCTATAGGATTTCCACCCAGCATCTCTATAATGTTGTAAACAGGAGAAAACAAAAGCTTTCTCTCCAGGAAGCCACTCACCTTACCACACAGTGGGGAATCATTTCAGCTGTGATCTGCTACTTAGACTTGAAGCCCAAGTACCCGAGACTTTGCCTTTCTTTTTGGTTTGCATAGCTGGTGTTGGAGACTGGGATTCAAAAAGCAATTCGGCATAAGAGAAACATTCACTGGAAGAGACACACTATGGTCTGCTCTATTCTCAAATTTCACGGAAAGCAGAAGAAATTCATAGTATGTGCACTTTTCCTCTCCAGCCTCAATTTTCTCAATCAGGGAATTTCCAAAATTTTGCTCTTTTATTTATCCTTAAGTGATCACACTGTTTATGGATACTGCTGAGACCATGCTAAGCACAGAGATAGTCGGTTTTTGCAAGACTCACGACCACGAAGCAGAAATAAGAATGACAGAATCGCCACACTCCACAGCTACATTATGAAGACTTTTTAAGAAAAGCATATGCACTCATACTCCTATATACAACAGAATTTTCCTGGACATGAATGTCTCAGAATGAGCCTCCCAAGGCCCGGAAATTCAGCCATCACACACCAGTCCGTCCACCTCTACTCCACCCTCTGCCCCCTTCCACTCCTCACCTTGTGTCTGCCAAAAAAATCACTTCAGTTTCACCCGAGGGAAGTATTTCCCACAAACCGAGGGAGGGTCTGTGTCCCTGCACATACACAGACAGACTCACGCGGTCTGGATGATGCTTTAACAAGTTAAGGGGCCTCGCGCTTACTCAGCAGAGGAAATCTTTGTGTCTGTGAGGAATCACGCCAATTCCTATTAGTAAGAAAGGATACAGGGGCGAGGAAGCCTATTCTCTCATTGACCAGAAAAAGAGGCCCAGCGAAAACAGAGACCTCTGCCATGACCATCTGCAAAAAGGAAGGATGTTGTCAACTTTCTTCTCCCCAAAACTCTAATGACCTCTGCCTTGACCCTCAGAAACCAGATACACAGGAACCGGCTCTTCTGCAGGAATTGGGAGCTTTACACTAGAGACTCGGCACTAAGAGGCTTGTCGCCCGAGCTATCTGCCCCGAACATTTGCACTCACATTCCAAAGATGTTTCCGTTGCGCTGGAATGGCTGTAAATTTCTTTCCTGCAGAATTCTTTCCAAACAAACTGCCATGAACTGTACTCTGCAGCTTGTGCAGCAGGACTTCTTAACCAAGCACGGTTCCCCTCATCGCAACCAATCTTTTAGATGCCGAATAGGATTGAATTGGTAGCTGGGCCAGAGGAGGCAACTTTAAAAATGCAAATATATCGGGGGGGGGGGGGGGCGGGAGTAAACCTCCACCAGAATTCCATTCCACCTTTAGTGACATATGACTGATCCATAAAGGTAAATCCTTCACGGGCTCTATTTCATTGCTAAAACTATTTGCTTACATTTTCCAGGATATATTAAACAGGTTGTTTCAAAAATTCAAAATTGATTTTTTTTTACCCATTTCACTAAAGAAAATGGGAGGGTGAGAGGGTTCCAGAGAGCAAGCATTCCCTTTCTAGCACAAGAAGGTACATTCTGCTTAAATGAGGAATAAAACAGTAGAAAGCTTTGAATATTTGATAGGATTATTCAATTTTATCAAGAGTTTTCCAAAGTAAGAAACCAATGCAAAAAAGAAAAAGAAATCCCAAACAAAAGATTTTAAAGATGCGATTAATTCCAATATTGAAATGAAAAAGAACACATCTATAAAAACTCAACTGTCTTAAAGCTTATACTTTGGGCTCTGGATATTATTTTCAGAACTGGGCTTTCTCTGGGCAGTGAAAAGTATGCAAATGCAGAGTGCACACAGACGCAAACACACACATGCTATACCTTTGTATTACACTGGCATTTTATTATTTAATTAAAGTATTCTTATTTTTCTAGCTCACGCATGCTTCCCTTGAGACGGCTTTGCTGTTAGCCTGCTGGCCTTGACTTCCAGCCAAAAACAATTCAGAAACAAAAAGGGACAACAAATCATATTTTCACAGACATTTTTATCCCTCAATACAACCCTGTTTTCACACAACATCATACAGCCCCTATGAAAACTATAATTTAGGGCAATAACCACCCGAACCCAGGGTCTGACACATGGCTGCATGAAGTATTTCTAGTGTGAGAAATTCTCAAGTTCTTAATTGCAAATAAACTCTTTTGATAGAACCACTTTAACCGGCGTTGCTGGTTTGCAAACAGTGCCACTGGTACCGGCTGATGGATTAAAAAATAAAAACAAGCCAGTGAATGTAGTTCTGATACAGCAGGGATCTAGAGACGAGGTGTTTATTACTTCCAAGGTCTGTGTTATTTCGTTACTTTTTAGAAGAGGGAGGCATCGGCAGACTTTCGGTGCATCTTAGTGCCACAGTCTAAGATGCATCACCTAATTTACAAAACAAACCGTCATTTACCAGGTTAATTCTCTCAACCCTTCCCCAAGCAAGAGTCTCACTTACCTGGTGGCAACCCTGTAAGTTTGATTCTCTCCCATAAGATGAGTAGGAGCCCCTTTCTGTTTTACCTGCCAAGAGAAACAACAAAAAAGTGTAAATTACATTTTTCCTTTAAAAAAAAAAAAAATCTCCAGGTAACAGACATCCACTTCTCTTCCCCGATGTTTACATACGTAAAGTAGGCACTACGGGCAAATGTATGCAAGCAAGAGAGGGAACAGCACTTCCTCACTCTGGCTATGATAAACTGGAAAAAAAATATCCTTCATTCCTATTCTTAGCCAAACTGCTCCACACTTCCAAAAACTGTCATTCCAATGGCCTCCACTTTCTCTAACAAACAAATTGTCAGCCCTTATTTTCACTTTCTTTCTCTCACAAAATTTAAACAATTTCATTTTTATTTACACAGCAGGCAAATTATCTATGTAATGACCCTAGTCTAGTAATTCCCATTGATTATATTGACACTTAATGGTGAGGCCAAAGCTAATCAATCAAGGCTCTCCAGATGGTGAATATAGCAAAGAAACTACTCAAAATTCTGACTCTCTCTCTCTCTCTCTCTCTTTTTTAAGCTCCCTTTCCCAGGGGTACACCCTATAATGATCGAAATGATGATGGAATTTACATTTGGGAAAGGGGGCTGTTGAAAAACTGCCCCCTCTGAACCCAAATTCAGATTCTACCAACTGACCCAGTGGAACAAGGAATAAGGCAACGTCAGTGTCTGGTTCCAATTCTAACAACTCATTTTTTATCCGTAGATGGCTCTACAGAGATATATAGAGCCTCAGATGCTATCTGGCCACATCTAAGGATAACATCAAGGCTGCTCATTTGTTTATTTTAGAAGTATCTTTAGCCTTAATAATCTGCAAGGGAGACAATGAAACCACATTTCAAGAGATCTAAGCAGTAGAATTTAGTGACATATGAAGAGTTGTCATAGAAAATTGATCCGTATTAGGACATTAAAAAGGACTAGTGACATGACTAGGTGCCCAGAACATAAGCCCCACCCCAAGAGGGAGGGTTACTTCTTTCTTCAAGAGTAGAGCTTAAGGGTACATAGTCCTTTACACCCAGGACTCTACTGTTCTTTTTTCCAATGGGAAGACTCAACAGTGGTATTCTGAGACCCTGAATTGAAATCCTTCTAAAGTTTACAACCCCCAGTTTTCCTCCCTCAACTCCAGTTAAAATAAATGTTAAAAGTAACAGTAGTCATTTTTTAACTTTTGGTTCAATGACAATGCTATTAGAGTCTACCTTCCTGACACCACACAAAGAACCTATCTTTAATAAATCTTCTATCTTGTCAAAAGTGCACCTTGTAGCTAAGTCACTATATACACAAAACGGAAGATGATTTTCAAATAAAAAGCCAAACCTGAGTTTTAAAATTTCTCTCTCAGTATTAACTCTTCTACTAGCTTCAATGAATCTCAGGCTTAGGAAAACACTTCCCCCCTACCCCATTTCTGGTATTGTGTTGAGGGCAAAGTAGAAAATCAATGTCCGTATCAGTTTCAATTCCAATGGAACAGGATACCATCTCATAGACTGTCTATCAAGAAAGATCTAAGAGAATAACTTTCATTGTATGAGGATTTTACATTAAAGAAAAGACACGTTTACCCATTTCAGAAGCATAAGTGGTCATACAGACATACGTACTCTTCTGTGTAAACCAAGTGTAAACTTATACTCTTTAATTTCTCTTTGTAAATATTACTAACAGAAAAAGCTCAACCTTTATGAGCTATCAAATGACATATGTCCTTCCTTATGCTCTTATGTCTAAAAAGCTTCAATACAGCCACCACATAGTTCACTTTGATGTAATATCCACTTGTTTAACAATCAGAAAAGCAGGTGGAGTAGGGAGGTAGGCAGACAGACAGATAGAAAGATAGATGGATAAAGGAGAATTTACTCTGACTTCCCTGTTAAGTGAACAAACATCTAGTATCCTGTTTGGGTAATTTCTAAAAATCAGATTGCAAAATACAGTAGGAAGGAAGAAGGGCTATCTAATTTTTCTCTAGAAGGAATTACTGAAGCTATCCCCTATAGAATTTCACCACCTGGTATTATTTCCCACCCCTGACTCCAGCACAGAGATCTGGTTCCTACCAGGATTTGTCTCAATTCATATATATAAGCTGGGGCTATTCCTTCCATCATTTTAAAGGTAGAAGATCAGTGCAAATAGTAAGGGGGAGAGAGACGGGAGGGGGGAGAGAGAGGGAGAGGGAGAGGGTGAGGGAGAGGGAGAGAAGAAGAAGAAGAAGAAGAAGAAGAAGAAGAAGAAGAAGAGAGGGAGGGAAAGAGAATATGAATGAAAATAAACGGAAGAGAAAGGAGAGAAATAAAGAGAGGGAGAATGAAATGAAAAGAGCAAGGGGGTAGGAAGGAAGGGAGAGAAGGAGGAGGGAGAGACGAGAAGAATATGAATTCACGCTGCACAGAGTCCCCAAAGTACTCTTGGCTACATAGACCCGGCATTCTTTACTATCATATCAGATACAGACTGCTTAATCTTAATTTTGCTTGTTAAAAAATATTTATCCAGATACAAAAATAAACCCACTGCAAATTACAAGTTGTCAGGGTTAAAAATCTACTCCTGTTTGTGTGGGGGAGGATAAGAGACCAGCATAGACATGAATCATTCTCAGTAATTTGAGTGTTTCCATGACATCAATGGGCACCCGTCCAGGACTCTGTCGAAGTCTGCGAGGTACCAAAGAGGCAGCGCAGCCAGCAGGAGGCTGGGAGGTGCACTTTTTTTTTTAATTTTTTTTTTTTTTTAGGATTATGCTCCTTGTAAAGATTTCATCTGTAGCATCCACTTTTACCATCAAATAGATCGCTCCAGAGATCATGAGAGAACACATTTCATTCTGATACTGTAAGCCTTTAACTTTATTACATCTTTTTGTTCCCAAATTCAACTATAAATCTGCCCTCACAGCCCAAACCCCTGTTTGGGAGCAAAATAATCAGGGACTGTGGGCAACCCGAGCACCTTCTCAAACATATTATATCTATTCCTATCATTTGCTAATGACAAACAGCAGCCATTTTACAATGACATCTCAGTTTCTAAAGAATATATACATGTACATATATATATCTTTTGTGTAAACTGTCCATTAAAAATTAGCTATGGTTTTGATGTTGATTTTCTGCTTAAAATTTGCTGGGACATTTGTTTCAGATAATAAAATTTTCAAGAGCACTGATAACATGTCTGAGTAGGATTCTTAAGTGACTATCTGTGCTCATGAACACAAAAGCCCCTAACTATCTGCGTTTCCTCTATGTCAGGCATGGGTTTTTGTCACTTATACCTACTGGCTGGCGCGGACAGCTTCTTTCCTCCTTTCTCCATTCTTCGACACCCACCTCCCCCCCCCATCCCCACAACCACAATGAAGCCCTGCAAGAGCTGAAGGTTCTATTTTCCCAATATTTAAAAGAGATAGCAGCGATGAACAAACCCGGCGCGTTCACTGCGGAATTTTCGAGACAACCCTCTAGTACGACGATGCGACAGCCGCTGCGGATATTTTTTGGCACAAAGACAATGGTGGCAGTGCCAAGCCCCATGGCGAAAACTACTCAGAAGAGGCATAAGGGTGGCATTAATCGCTCAAGTCTTTTACTGCATGGACTACTGCTGTCCATATTTTAGAAACTAAAAGTACCCGTTAGTAACATTTGTTGTATGCCCGTAAAGGGGTGGGGGGGGTGGGGGGGATTCTGAAATATATACCAGAAACCAATCTTGTCAGGCATTTGATTCATTTTTATACCTAAAAGGACCAAATGTTAAACTTTGCTGCTGGTGATGATTTGCCTTGCACGAAACAAATGATATGACCTAATGGAGTACACTGAAGGCTGAATGAAAGCTATAGAGAGGATTTCATAAACTAAGTCGACATATTGGCTAAACAACTTTCTTCTGCAAAAATGATGTATACAAGGAACATGTAATACTATGTCACAATTTTTTAAATTAAGCAAGAAAAATGCTGTAAATGAGCAGACACAACATCCGTCAATCAATCCTTCTGGAGACAAAGGAGATCAACACGCAGCCCCTTCTCTAGAACAAGTCGGCATCTACAGTGAGCAAACAATCCAGAAAGTCAACACGTGTTTTGACCAAATTGAACCCATCAGCTGCTAAAACCTATATTTAAATTTGACTATTAAAAATGGCAGCAATTGATAATCAATAAAGGATTCCCTTGCTTCTTCTGTTGCCCTTGAAACACAAACCTAAGCAGAAAACATAAGCTGCTTCCAATTTTTTTAAAGGCCAATATTTTTGTTGATCTATTCAATAAAGCCTTTATCTTGCTGCCCTGGGAAGATAAGGGGGAAAAAATGGTTTTTGTTTAGGGGCATTATTGTTAACAAAGGTCTATAAAATTCCAAATGTAATACTTTTATATTCTTACATCATTTTCCATTTGACTTCTATTTTTTTTTCTTTCAATATATCCATGGTATCCTATTGTAAGGGAATGCCAAGGAAACCGGATGAGAATGAAAACATCACTTAAAGCAAACATGATCTCATAAGTCCATTTATTTACAAGGATACATCCAAGAAGTATCACCTTTGGTAGATTACTGCACCTGAACAATTCTAATCCACATGGAAACAGACAAGAACAACTTACTGATAACATGATTTCTGAAGATAGGCTGTGGTTGACCAGTAGGGTAATAATAAGGTCATGTTTGGCTTTCTGGCCTTTCATTCTTAAAAGGTCACTTTAAAAATGAAATATACATGGTAGGTATTTCATCTACCACTGAAAAAGATGTACCTATACCAGTGGAACATATCATCCCATGAAAAGCCTTAATGAAAAATTATCTGATGCTTCAGGACAAGCCAAGCAAGGCTGTTTCGCTGTTAATCCTCATTCTGGGAACTGAAGAATGAGCCTTTTGTTCCCTGGCATCAGACTGGGGAACTCATCATAACCATGTTCGGATCAGAATAAATCTCTGTCCCCAACCCCAACCCATCATCCCTGGTTACCCTATTTTTTTTTTTTTTTTTTTTTTTTTTTTGCATATTGAAAAGATTTTTCACTAAACAATGACTGAAATTTTTGGTGGCTCTGAAAGCATATGTGAGGTTATTATTTACAGACCTTTCATCTTTTCCATGCTCGCTTTTCCCTCCTTTACCCAAATAAGAATAACTGAGTCCTTGCCATGTATTACTGCCCACTACACAAAGGGCATATGCAGACTGATTTATTCAATCTGCACAACAACCCTGGGAGGCAGGTAATATAAACACCATTTTATAGATGAGGAAACTGAGACACAGAAAACTGACTGAGGTTAGTTACACAGGCAGTTGAGTGACCTAACCAGGATTCAAACCCTGGCAGTTTGATTCCAAAGGCTGTGCTCTTAGCACTATTCTGTGCTGCTACTTAAAACTCCGGAGGGGAAAAGAAAAAAAACAAAAAAACAAAAACTATAAATAAGCGAGAAGCCCAATACTGAAGACTCAAATCCCAGAGCTCAAAACACTCATGAATTTGATATGAAATTAATGAAAGTGTCTTATAGGTGGTGATAATTTACATTTACATGGTATTTTATCCCTAAAAGGTCTCTTGGTACTTTACAGCAGTGCAACTGACGTACACCAGAACCTGTGACATCATATAATAAACTGCTACCATCTCCATGTTGACTTGAAGCAACTAATCAACAAAAACATGGCAGCAAACTGCATCTGTACACGTTCCCTATGTGAAGAATATGACTTCGTATTAAGATGCATGCACAGAGAAGAGCGTAAGAAAAAATATAATGTAGGACAACACAGCATCGCTTATGAGAGTCTTCTCTGAAATAGTAAACCCACAACAGGCTCCAAAAAACAAAAGGAAGGCTAATTTAAAGAGTCTAGGAAATGTTACAAGCTACTTATATCCATCCCCCCAGAAATTTACATTATAGCTTAGCATGTTAAAGCCTCTGAGAAATCCTGCAGTGCAGACATTTATTTTAGCTTAATACCATATATCCTAAACTTATCTCAACACAGATCTGCCTCCATCTTTTTGTCATTTAATGCAAGTCATGAGGAACTTCAGGAGCTACTATTATTTAAAAAAAACATAACACTAAGAATGTGTTGGGTTAATATAGGTTTGTAATGTTTTATGAAATAAATAGTATGTCTAAAAATCGATTTGATTTTAATTAAATTGATCTAAAAACATTTTTCATTTTTTATGATGTTTCTATGCAGATACACCTTTGTGTATGACCAGCTCTGACTAGCTGGTCAACTTTAATTACCCCTGGTCTTTGACTGGTAGTACGAGCCTGCATTTGCAAGAAATCAGAAGTTGACATTATTCTTCTGATGTCTCAAATTCAAAGAGCACTGGTTGTCTCCTACAAAATCTCACTGTTCCAGGACAACTCTGTCTTCATCTATAGGCACTAAAAAATCCCAATTTAATAAATTTTATGCTAAAAGAATTACAACTCAATGTCAGCAGATAAACTAGTCATTCCACAGCCTAGAAAATTCTTTTCCTCCCCTTCTTCCTGAATTGAGACCAGAAAGAAAACTGGGGGGAAATGTGGCTGTGCACATGGCGTGTAGCAAGGGATGATGGAAGTTGGGAGCTATCCATGTCCCCAGAAAAGACCAGCATCAGTCCTCTCTTTCAGGGATGTGCTGTAGTCATAAACATAGAATACTCAGTAATGATCTATAGCTCTGATCCTGGAAAATTATGAGTTTTGGCTGCATTTTGTCACTGATTCACCTCATCTCGTCTAGACACTGTGCTGCCTTCAAACCAGTGGGTGGACTAAAATTCCAGCTACGCTGACTATCTTGAGACACCACCAAAATTCTTCCTTTTGCGGGACTGCCTATGGTTCAGAATCTATATTCAATTCTCTTTAAAGCACTCCCATTTGTAAAGCACTGTATGGTATGCAAAGTAATTTAACTTACATACTTAAGACAATACACCCTCAGAAGTTCTCAGAGGGGCATTTTCCTCTCTAGTTTTATAGCTGTGTCACTAAAATGAAGAAAGAGCAACCAACTTAGATGTGTAGAAGACATTATACAGGTATCAGGAGATAAAGCTAGAACACAAACTTCCAATTCCAGTATCAAAGCCCCTTTAGATATATTCCACTTCTTTTTGGAGTATTCTAGATATAATGTCAGTATCTGCTGTGCTAACAAAGATTATTCCACCTGTCTTCTTCTCAATGTGTACCACAACCCTCCCCTCAAATCATTTTAACTCAATTTGTAAGGCAAGAAGGAGTCCTCAAGTCCTTTGATGGATGAAAATGTTAGAAGAGACAGGCATTTTGAATGACCATCCTCTGGTACACCAAAAATTACCTTCTAGATGCAAGATGAAAAGTACTGTTTTAGGTTTATTTCACGTGCCCTAGACAACAGCCAAAATAATCCCCTCACGCTCAGTGTCATGCTTCAGAGAAGTGCACACATTATCAAATTAAAGCACATGAGTTTTATGCTTTATTTTCCAAATGCAGGAAAATCTTGCACTGAAAATAACGCTAATTCCACAGAGTGTGCAATTAATCAACATAATCACGGGGATAACTTAGCTGTTTGGGGAGGTGTGTCAAATAACTCTTTAAGGCCACTAAAGTGCCACTTCAGCCACCAGAGTAATGATTTTCTGAATCAGCAATTTGTACAAGGGTCCCCTGGAGACCTGAAGGACTAAGGGCAACCCTGAAATCACTCAACTTACTTCTAATGAGTAACTTACCACTGGCTTTATGTGAATAAGATCTTAATAGTTCTGCCTCCCCTGTTTTATATTGTTACCGCAGTTTGTGTGCATGATGATTGGCTATAACACAACCACAACAATTAAGGGTTTGTGTGGCCTCTGAAGAAACAACATATGCATTTGAAAGCTTATTTTTTTTATTCGAAGAAGTATAATTGCTTTTATATAAAAATGAGGAAAGGTCAGTCTTGCAATATATATTACAGGTATCAAAGCAAGCAGAAATAAATATTTCCGCTAGATTCACAGGAGGAAAGGAGGACACAGGATGGATGGGCTATTCTGGGCTAAGAAACTTGGCTGATCATGAGAACCATTAGTGAGAGGTTTCTTTTTTTTTTTAATTTTTTTTTTCAACGTTTATTTATTTTTGGGACAGAGAGAGACAGAGCATGAATGGGGGAGGGGCAGAGAGAGAGGGAGACACAGAATCGGAAACAGGCTCCAGGCTCTGAGGCATCAGCCCAGAGCCTGACGCGGGGCTCGAACTCACGGACCGCGAGATCGTGACCTGGCTGAAGTCGGATGCTTAACCGACTGCGCCACCCAGGCGCCCCAGTGAGAGGTTTCTTAAAAACAGATTCTTGGCTTCTCTACCCCAGGGTATCTGCATTCAACAGAGTAGAATCCGGTATTCTATTTTTTTTTTTTTTAAATAAAATTCCACTGGTTAGTCTAACAAGCCAGGGATAACAGTAACCAATTTAAAGTGACAGGCATAGCCTCTAAGGTTAGATGAAACTCCAGTAAACCTGGTAGCCTGGTGAACAGGTGAACAGCAACAATAATAAAAAAAAAAAAAAAATAGATTACTACCTGATCCAACCTATTTAACTGGGCTTAAAAAAAAAAAAAAAAAACAAGCAACTGTCGGGGCGCCTGCGTGGCTCTGTCGGTTGAGCATCATGGCTCAGGTCATGATCTCATGGCTCATGAGGTTTGAGCCTCGTGTCGGGCTCTGTGCTGACAGCTCAGGGCCTGGAGTCTGCTTCAGATTCTGTCTGTCTTGTCTCTCTCTCTCTCTCTCTCTCTCTGCCCCTTCCCAGCTTGTGCTCTCTCTCTCTCTCTCCTTCTGTCTCTCTCTCAAAAGTAAATAAACATTAAATTTTTTTTAAAAAAACAAACAACTGTTTATCTCTGGGGTCCTTTCTGACAGTTCTGTTTCAGAAACCTTTTTCCGGCAGCATACTTAGCCTTTAAACTTGTTCATCTCCACTAATGAAGACTGGTTGTCTTACAGAAATTAGTCTCACACTCCCACATATATTCTCCTAATAAATGACGGAATGTCAAGACTTGAGAGTCTGAGAGGTGAAAGGCTCCTCCCCTTCTTTCAGTCCCACTGGCCACTGCTCTGAATGTGTACCCTTCCCCCATTCTACCCGAAGACCAAAGTCACCTTTACACTTCAGGACCAACCTCTAGTGAACCTAGTTTGTTAAAAGGGCCCCTCCACCCTTTCCATGCTCTACGGAAGGCATCTCAAGTCCATACAAAGGGAGAGAATCTGGCCCTTTGATCCCTCTGGGCGAGATCTGTGACATTTCTGGTCAGACGCAATAGAAACATCATATGAGTAAAGATTCTGTTGCCTGGCTAAATTTTTTGGAATTTATCAGCAAAATTTAAGAAAATCTAGAGCTATGCTTTACCACGCAAATCGCTTTTAGCAATAAACTATTTGCTGCCCATTAAGCCGATGTTCTAATAGAGTCTTACTAATCTTAAGTGTAAAGACTAACACTGATCAAACTCTGAGTAAGTGGAACAGAAAACAGAGGAAAAGGTTTGTTAGTATTATGTTTGTTATAGTGTCTACAAAGGAAAATTACATGATTTAGCACCATGGCACATAAGCAATGGCCTCGGTTTTCAAGTTGAGCCTACAACTAACAAGAATATAATGAGTATTACTCTAAAGGAAACCACACATACATTTGATATGATACCCAAGACTGTACAAAAGTAAGACAGATGAGAATTTCATGAAGATTTTAAATACCATTTAGACATGTGTATAATATATATAGGCATTGTACTTAGATATATACACACGTATAGAAGTAACATTTAACATTTTTTAAAGTTTTATTTATTTAAGTAATCGCTACACCCAACATGGGACTCAAACTCATGACCCCGAGATCAAGAGTCGCATGCTTTTCTGATGGAGCCAGCCAGGTGCCTCCATTGTGAATCCCAGGTGGAAGATAATATAAATGTCATTTATTAACATATATTAGATGACCAATATATTAGATGATCGTTTCTCCGGCCTTAGCATTGAATTACACTAGGTCTATGTTTCCTAAACATACATCACTGAGAAGCTGGGGGTAATAGCCCAAAATTCAAAATACATCTCAGAGCATCCAAAAAGTAGGAAGACTGCTAATTCTTGAACCTGCTCTTCAAGATCAACTTTAAGAGACAGGGCCCACAGCAACCAAAGTGGAAGGTACACAGGACCAGATTCCTCAGAGTCTGACTCCCCAGTGACACTAGTCACTTTTAAAGGAAGATGATGATTCAAAGATAAAGTTACATGAGCCACTGAGTCCCACACTATGATGTTTAAGAAAAGCCTCCTAATTACTGAATACATGAGCATGACTATATCAGGAGAGGAAGGCGGGGGGCACAGGAAGGAAGAGGAGAGGCCGTGGGAAAAATGGTCAAGGAGAAGAACGGAGGAAGGACAAGGGGAGTAGTCAGAATACCGACCTCATACTACCAAAATAGGCAAGAAAATCAAATACATGACATGGAAGATATGTTTACAGACAGCACTTTTCAGTTCTGAAACTTGCAAAAATGATCACCTGAATGAGTGTAAAAGAGGTCAAAAAACCATGAGATATGAAAATAAATATTTGTTGATGCCTCTGTGTACCATGTGTTGGCTGCTGGTACATCAATGATGGACATTATTCTCAAGAGGGAGGGTTTAGTTGGTTGAAATGCTAGGGAGCAAACCCAACAATGTACATCGGTAAGGAGTGTAATGGGTGTACTGAAAAGCACAGAGGAAGAGAATGCCTAACAGAACCTCATCGTGGTAACAGGCGGCAACAGGAGAGCTGTGTATCTGAGCTTCCACGCAAGATGCTATTGTAACCGACTTAGTGGCAAGTTGATATGTGTTAGAATATGGTTCACAGTTACCAGACAATGTTAAACAAATGAGAGACATTTACATCATTTTTATTCGAAACAAACTTTAAGATAACTGGTACCTAAAATTGGAAAGCCAGAAAACTGGAAAAAAAAAACTTAAATAACATTTCCCTCCTTCCTTAACTCTAAACTCTTTGATAGTTCCATATTGGAGGGAGATGGTTTGGGAATTTTGAAGGCAACAGCTTACAAATCAGAGAAGTTTACAACAGAAGACAAAAGAGCTGCAAAAATCTCAGCTGTCCTTTCAGTGACACAATTACCAAATTGATTCAATCGAGTCCTTTCAATTGAAGAAATATGTGGAAATCACTTTTACATAATTAATTATTATAAAGAAACTGGTGAAACCTTGTCAACAAAGAACCTTGTCAAAAAACCTTGCTATTTTAAAGACATATCCATTCCACAGAGCCCTGGTCTTCACCACCAGAACCACATCTCCATCCAAGCGGTGGCCACTGTGACTGCCCTTGTGGAAGTTAAGTTGGCCCCGTGACCTGGCGATAAAGGGGCCATCAGTAATCTGCTCCTTTAACATCTCACACTCTACAAACAACAACCAAAAGAGAAAAAAACAAAACAAAAAGAGGTTCTGCTCAAACTACCATTCTCAAAGTCTGCCAGAGGAAAGGTTGATTTGGTCTGCAGGGAAACCAAAAATGCCTTTATAAAACATTGCATTGTAAATACATGCTCATTTTTCTTCACAAAGCAAGTGAAAACTATTGCCACTATCAGGGAGTTTTCTGCTAGGGATTAGCTACCACATCCATTACCTACAAGGGTCATACTACAAAATTTCAGTGATTTATCTTTCTTAAGTCCATTCCCAACTTAGTCAAACAAACATTCTCCATAAGCGTAACGAATCCAGGAGGAACTATGAAAGCAACAAAAATGCAATCAATGTAATATGACATCACCCACTTAAAAGTTCAAGACTGGCATACACTCTATGTGTTATCTGACCTATCAGTAATCTATTTTGCAAAAGCAAACAAACAGATTAAAAAAAAACAAAAAACTTTATTTTCCAACAGAAACAAATTGGCTGTCACTCTCAGTATTAGCCTACAACTTTATAATCACTACAAATATATGATTATTTTTATAAAAACGCAAAAACAAAACATACCAAAAAACCCAACCCTGAAAAGTGAAACAAGAGCCCCACAGACCAGGCGGTTCCTATCTGAGCAGCCAGCAGAGGGCGCACATGCCCCAACAAGAGCTGGCTCTGGCCAGCCACCACCCAAACTCACTAAGCCTGACCACAATTTGAATACAGGGAGGGGGGAAAAGTCATCCTATCAGTAGCATTAATAAAACAAGCATGCTCAGTTTAGGATCAGTGAGAAATATACACAAGTACACTTATTATTAAACTCTGACTTTAACAGAGATTTCCTAGCTGCCTCATGGAAAACTTTCCATCTTTCCATTAAAAAGATGTAATTCTTCTTTGTATGGAAGTGTGGTTATATCAGTTTTCAAGGTCACTATAGTTTTTATAGTCCTATGCTAAGAGTTATCTGTAATACGTGAATTTGTAAATTAAATATTAAATTTCTAACATATAAACACACATGTTCTGGTGAGTATGTCAGATTAACTTTTGTAAATGGACTCTCTTTTAGTGTATTTCCATGTGTTAGATACAAATCTACTAATGAATTTTTGTAACCCTAGAGCAATTAAATACGTATCATTTGTATGGTTAAACTAGATACATGGGTTACTTATTTTTCTACTTGTTTGTGCTTGATTGAGTATTTGGGTCTCTGTGTTATAATATTTGGGGCTAGAGTAGGTCACACTAGAAGAGTACCTGGCACCTACGTACATGTACATATAGAAAGGGACACTTTATTCTTTTAAGGAAATTTTCCTATGAATGCAAAAGTCACACACTCCTCCTAGAGCTTTCTAAGTTTGTGATTCCAGAAACCGTATCGCAACTTGAAAAAAAAAAAATGAATTACCTCATGAAAGCACCAAATTAAAATAGACATCCAATACTACAGTTTTTATGTCTACACATAAAAATTAAATAATCCATAGGATGTTCAATGTCTAATTTCAAATAGGCTGGAATAAACGGAAGGCGTGCATTTAAGTTTCAAGATGGAGAGCCTGCTTGGTAAGATAATTAACAGCCACTTGTCCATCCACCTAAAGGATCAATTCAACCTCACATCTACTCACCAAACAGAAACAATGAAGCCATGTAACATCTCCACAAGGTGATTTTATTTTTCTTAAGCATTCTCAGTAGATTGGGAGTTGAACTTAATTTACAGCATCCGCAAACCAGGTGGCTTAGGTTACATGTAGGTCACGATAAATAATACTTATCCTTTGGCTGATGTGGCTACACCATTTCTGCATAAGTTAAAATGACGATGTTTTATTATTCCTAAGCACTCAATTCTGAAATGTTTGCACAATCTGTTAAGTCCAGGCAAATTTAAACGATTTTGACATGCAGCCTGCTAAGGCCAGTGACGGGGATAATGCCTCTTTACGTGGGTAAAATTCTGTGGCATATAGGTCACTCTCTTAAGGGGAATCAACTGTGTGTCTCTCCTTTGCATTTTCCACCACAATC